AAGAACAGGCAAAAACAACATCCAACACAGCAACACAGTGCCAATCCCTCCTGGAAACACCTGTCTTCGCTGTGACAAGACAAGATATGTGGATCTAGAATTGGGCTGTGGAGCCACCTGTGGACTCACTATTCAGATCCTTGGAAGACAATCTTACTCATTCGTGAGTGATCGCCCATCATCATCAATGTCCTACCTTACAATTTGTGGCCCCAGCATCAAGATGATATGATAAAACATTTCCCTGGTCATTCGGAACATCTCTGGCCACTGCTAGTAGTTCCAGGTGGTCAGCATAATTCACTCCCACCAGTCTGAGCTGCTCTTGTGGGCCCAGACCCTGCAGTTGCTGCTCCTGAGATTCATCCACAGAGTCCTGTCCACATGCCTCTTGGCTGTCCCACTCCACTTCATATCTAAGTGCCCTTTTTCACAAGGCGCCTCTGCATGCAGGCATCTCTTCATTGCAAATGTTGAGAGAGAGGACCAATTCATACGCTGCCATTGTTAGCTGCACCTGTATGTTTTGTATTAAGTCCAAGGCCAGTAGCAGGGTAATTAGCAACAGTTCCTTCTCGTCCTCTTTGCCCATGTCATCCAGATTCTCCATTTCGGACTCTTCACTCAGTTCTCCATTTTCCACTTCCCAGTCCTCGTGCATTTCTTCCTGAATCTCCATTTGCTCCTCCTCCATCATCCCATATGTATTCTCCCAAGCAAGGTTGATTGAACATACACAGCAGGACGGCCTTTCAGATCACAGCACCGCCACCAAGCCAGGGAGTTGTGGTCTAGAGCTCTGTCTAGGGAGCTGCATTCAATTGATTCCCATTGCAAGTGACCTCTTATCTGCATTTCAACAAGTAACCCTGGGGCACTGGTGCAGCAGAGCCTTCCCCATTACTGTGTTCTGTGGGGGGTGTTGGAGTTTACCGTGGTGAACAATGGCACCCTGGCTTCAGGATAACTGCATATATCATATTAATGGATAGCCACACCTGAGAACAATATACCCAGAAAATGGAGCATGGTTATCAGGTGTGCCTCTTCAGTCTCTGGCTACTGATCTCATCCGAAAAAAAGCCTGACCTGCAATAACACTCCTGGCTAAAAAAACAATGTCCTCCCAGAAAAAAACCCATTTGCCCTGCCAGGTTAGGCATAGCATATAAAGTTAAAAGTGATGTTTTGGATGCACAGGATCTCATCCTTTTGAAACTTGTGTTTGCTCTTACTTACTGTATCCTAGTAAGCATAGTAAGAAAAAAAAAATACCCTGAGATAAGGGGAAAGTTGTAAGAGAAAAGTTCTGATGGATCAAGTCTTTGGTGAAGACCGCTGTCATCAAGCTAGGCTTGCAAAGACTTTTAATTCTACAATTGGAGAGAGACAATTCTGCCATATTGCTCTTGTGTTAATGTAGGACCAGACAAAGCCTTGAGAATCCTCAGTACAGAATGCTTTTGTTTACAAATATGTCCAAATGAGCCAGTATCAGGTGAATACTTTTGCAAGGACAGCAAAAAGAGTCTGTGCTTCTCTAGTTGCAGCAAGAACAAACTTGGCTCTGCCAGCTTAAGAAGCAATTGCAGGCAAAGCCACAACTGGCTTCCATGATATATTGACCATTGTGAAAGAACCTAAATATTCTAGGTTTAGAAGCATCAGCTGCTGATTTATATTTAATATTTGAGGAAGCATGTCTGTTACATTCGGTAAATTTGCCATAATTTTTTTTTTCCTATGACTGCCTATTCTGGAGTACAGAACATGGCTGTGGCTAGGGTCCCAGTATGTGAGAATGGCATCCAGTTGCCATATAAAGGGCATGGACTTGCAGGCAGTCCCCGACTAACAGTTGTGGTCAGTCACAGGGACCCACTGTGCCATCAAGGCCTTGACCTTTATGCAGCACAGGCATGTCAACTGGTCGTACCCATGCTCATACCCATATCTTCCATGATATATTGACCATTGTGAAATAACCTAAATATTCTAGGTTTAGAAGCATCAGCTGCAGCCCCTACAGCCTGACAGCCCCTCATAAATATGAGTGTTGGAGAGCCTTCCCCATGCAAACTGGCTGAGCACATCAGCCTCACCCCACAGCATCATGTGGTCTGCAATCTCATCTAATGACAAGCTGGGGCCCCAGGAGGTAGTCTGTGGCATTGGGGAAGATGCTAGCATGGCTCCCGCAACAACTCTGAGCCTCTGTGGCTGTTCCAGTGTTGCTGGGCCTGGGCAGCTGCCTGCAACACTCAGCACAGAGGTATGGTGTGGGACTGGCAGCTGTGTGGCCGGGCAGTGCCAGGCAGCACCTGCAGGGTCCAGGCAGGCTGCTGGGTGTCACCTGCAGCCAGGTAGAAATGGCCCCAGTGGCCAGAAGCTGGCTGCAGCTGGGCCCGGGTGCTGGCAGGCCTGGCAGGTGCCTACAACACCCGGAAGATCTGGACAGCATGGCCCTGACAGCCACATGGCATTGCAGCTTTTAAGGGCCTGGACCTGGGGCCAATGTAGAGCTGTGCTGAGACTGGTCCCCTAATGGCAGAGCTGACTAGGAGTAAATTTGTTCCTGGTCAGGGTCTACACCTGCACTACAGCACAGTAACTACTCGTGAGTAAATTTAATACTTGCATTTGCAGGTAGCAAGTTTACTCACAAGTAGAACAGTTTACTGCACAGTAGATGTGTGCACATGTAGACACACACTCTTACTGTGCAGTAAACTGCTCTACTGCACAGTAAAGTGTCTCGTGTAGACGCACTTGCTTGTCTCAGCTCTTGGGCCCTGAACCTAAATCCCTAGGACCAGTTAGCTGCCCCATACTCCCTGCAGCAATGTAATTCTGGTATCTTGCGAGCTCATTTCATATGGTAAGGCATGCTTTGTGGGCACTGTGTGTGGAAAATTATTGGGAGCACTGTGTAGACATGAGCCTCCTAAGCAGTGGTAGCATCTGGGTCTGAGCAACTAATGCTGATAGAAGAGTTACAGCAGCCTACGGCGTAACATGCTTTCTTCACTGGCTTTGTATCATGAATGTATATGTCAGACACACAGACATAAGGTACCTCATCAGCTGTGGGATGGAGAGATCCCTGTGTTCCCATATGAACACCCAGAATCTCAACCCCTACACTACCTTACTAGCAGAGAGCCGGTTGCACCTGTAATGGGTTGCTTCATATCTCTCCCTCGTCAAGACCCTGGCTAGCCTTAAATCCACAAGCTTTCTCAGTTGCACTAAGCTAGGTAGCCTGAAAGTCTCAGCCTCTTCTCTCTGTATAACTTCAGCTGTGGATCAGTCTAATCCAGTGATAGTGGGATATAGGTGTTGTCTTGCCCTACTGAAAAGCCATGACTAAATGAGTTTTCCCAGTGTTACAGAGATGAGGAGGAGAGTGGGAAAGGGGAAAAGAGGAAGAGAGAACCCTACAACACCATTTTGTTATGTATCAGGGTGTTTTTACACTTTCCCAGAGGCATCAGGTATTGGCTACAGCCAAGATTGGGGACTTTGACTGGGGTGTGCCTGCTTGGCGCAAAGCTGGAAGTTCATGGCTACAGGGTCTCTAGCCCCTTTGTTCAGGGTCAGACCAATTGCCATATTTTGGGTCAGCAAGGAGCTTTACCCCATTGTCAGACTGGTATGGACTGTGGGGCATTTGTGCCTTCCTCTGTAGCTGGGGGCCTCTACCCAAGACCTTTTGAGTGTATATTGATGATGTTTTATAGAAGCAGGCCATTGGCTGCTGTGGTTCCCTTGGTTTACCTGTGGAAAGTTAGGGTATTAGGTCTATGTTGAGGCAGGGTTGATGTAGTCTTATGTAGAATTTAGATTATGGTTGTATGGGGTGTTTTGGATAGGGATGGTCCTGCCTCAGGCAGTTTTGACTAGATGACTTCTGGAGGTCCCTTCCATCCCTACTTGTCTATGATCATGAATCAATGAGATAATCAAGGTAATGAAGATGACTAAGATGCCAGCTGTTCTTAAAGAACTGACCAATATTGAAAGGGACCTGAGCAAGCGAGCACCAGCAAGGAATGTGTAGTTGTCAAGTGAGCCCTTGGGACCCCAAAGAGCCACGGAGCTGTTCCTGTCACATCCCACGTGTCCTGCAGTCACTCACTGGTTGGACACCTGCTCAGAAAGACAGACACTAAGCTAAACAGCACTTTCACGGGTGGGTTTAGGGGGGTCCTAAGTTTTATTGTGAGACTTGCTCCAGCAAGAAGAGCAGAGATTGGTTAGTCATGGTGGTGATTGGCCGCCTGTTTAGCCTAAGGCTTTCTCACTTTTTTTTCCCTCCATAATGAAACCTTGTAAATAAAATCTTCACATTTTTGGGTCTCTTCCATGCTTTGCTGGATTTTATTTTCCTTTTTACTTTAAATGTAGACTATATTTTTACCTTAGAAAATTTTATGCAACGATTACAGAAAAAAAATATTTTTAAGAACTTGAGTGAAAATGAACCTATTGCTGTTTTGTAAAGTCTAGTTGTACAATCACTTTTTAAAGCCAAGTGATACAAAAGGGAAATTGAATTTGAATTTGTATCTGAGTTTTTTGTATTCTACTCTTCTTTGAGACAGTGAATGTGCTTCTTTGTATCCACAGTGGTGGGGATGGGAGAGAAGGGCTGATCACCTTGCACCATTCAGGGCATTTACCACTTGGTAAAGAGCATATATAGGGCTACTACATCTGAATAGTCACTTTCCAAACCCACCTTGCACAGCAGGCAAGACTAAGGCAGGGTTGGGCAATTATTTTGGCTGGAGGGCCACTTAATGAGTTTTGGTGTCCTCTTGAAGGCCACACTTTTCTCTCTTTCTCCCTCCCCTTGTAACCTGACCAGAGCTGTAGCATGCCCTGATCCCCACCCTGACCCAGAATCCCACCCCAACCTGGAACCTGCAGACTGCATCTGCAGCTTATGCCTCCATCCACCCAGTGCAGCTCAGGTGGGCCCAGGTATCAGCTGTAGATGTCACCAGCAGGTTCTGGGTGGCGATTGGGTCCACAGCTGATGCCACCACGTCAGTGCTGGGCAGAACCAGTCCTGCCGACCTGCCCAGCACCATGCGGCAGCTGAAGCCAGAGCTGCCGGCCGCCTGCAAGCCAGATCCCATGAGTTCACAGCTACCCATCCATAAGCCAGATGCAATCAGTTGGCAGCCCTATTTTGCCCACCCTTGCATTACGACATTGAGCCCTGTGATCTTGCATAGCACTCGCCTTCCACTGATGGGCCTTTAACTCGTGATAACCATAAGTCCTGGGTCGCTGGTAAGAAGATAAAAGAAAATAGCCCCTGCTGAAGGACTTTTCCTCCCACTTACCTGTATGGTACAGTAGGCAGGTTCAGGAATTTGGAGGGTTTGGCTGCTTGAGGGTAGGGCTCATATTTATGGATGGTTATCAGCAACTTGTTGGACTGCACATTGGTTTGTAAATACTTTTAATTTAAAGTATCACTGGGAAGTAATGATTCTCATGATTCATCTTGCTGCCAGGATTGTAACAGATCTTCATTCTTCACTTTCCTCCTCATGGTGCATGACAGAACTGGTCAGGATGAAGCTGCATGTTCCCTGTCTGTAGTAAGTCTGGGAGTGGATCACTTCAGACTGTTAGCACGTACAGCCAGGCTGAACTGGGGCATGGATGGTACGGTGCAGAATGGGTGTCTCCTGGCCTCTATGCATGTAGGCCAATGGGGGTGGATGGAAGGGAGGAAGCCTGCCTACTCACAATACCTGGGCAAAGTGCAGCCATACTCATACTTCTTGAATGTTGTGTGGGTTACAAGTCAGGAGGGGCATGATCCCAGCCCCACTAATTTTAAAGCAGTGAAAAAGGCAAGTCTGAGCCTGGATCAGTCCTTGGAGTGCAGCCCTTGCAGCAGAACTCAGGTCTTTGAACTATAACCACTAGATTATGGCTCTTTCTGGCCACAGGAATCTTGCTTTTTTACTTCACAGTGGACCCACTTTGAGAGGAAACTTGAGCTCACTACCCATATTGTAGTTACTCAGGTGCAGTAGTTAAAAAGCAAATGAAGAGGAAAGCCTATCTGTGTTCATTCCTGTGGGTTAGTTTTTTAGTTTATTAGAAACTGGATCAACACAGGAACAAAGTACGGAAGGACTTAAATGAACAGCCCACCGGTCTCGGGCAAGTGGGAAGGTTAAGACACACATATATTAACAACAGTGTAAGCACCTGTATAATTTCAGGTTTAATTACCAGGTATAATTCAGGAAATAATTTATCAGAGCACAGGACAGAAATACATAAACTCCCTTCTAAGTCTGCTCAGTCCTCTGGTTTAGAAATTTTCTTTAAGCAATTAAACAGTGGAAAAAGCAAAATCAAACCAAAACCTACATAATATTAAAAACTAATATTCTAGATAGATATTTATTTAATTACATTTGTTTTACATTGCACAAACCTATTTGCCCTTTTCTCTTCATCTTGTTTTCTATTATGTCTTCCCTCTCTTTCTTTATAAAGATAAAAGCCATTTGACAAGAATGCCACACATGATCATTTAAATATATTTAGGCACTGTTTAATAAAACATAATAAAACAATTTCTGCCAATCTCTGTCTTCCTGTAAAATATTTATGGTTACATTTCAGCTTTGAACTGAAACATAGTTCAAAGCCTACATTTATGCAGAGGTATTAGCCAAAAGATCATATTCAAGTCCTGATTAGATATTCTTTGTTCTTTGAAAGGTCTTCAGTAAACAATAAACGCAATGATTATCTTTTCAAGTATACATTGAGATCAACAAGTGCATTCATAATTGGCTAAGAAACATTTGCTGACCAGTTTCCAAGCTGTCTAGTCATACACATACAGAAAAAAATTAATAAAAAAAGAACAAACAAAAATGCCTGGTAAAAATTATTTTTCTTTACTTTTGCTGACAATTTAAATAATTTTTATATAAAAAAACCAAAAAATCTCCAAATGAAACACACTTTTCACTGACAGGAAGCAGCCTTACATTGTCTTACGTTGTAGGTATCCATGTTGTCATGTCACTGATGTGTTGTTCAGTTTTGATAATCATTGGTTGTAAACTAAAAATGATTGGGATTTTTTTACAAAAAGAAGTATGGCTGTATTATTTGCGTGGAAGTTTCAAATGTGGTTCAGACAAACAGTAGATGTGTCCAAAATATTTGGTGGGCAATTGGATGACCAGCTCTCTCTTTCTTTCATCCATATCACCTTGTGAGATGGTAACCCACACAAGCACAGATGCTCAGCTTCACAGAGCCTACCACTGGTGCTTATTAGCATAATATAGTGGGCTGGGCACTACCTTTGTGAAGAGGGCACAAAAATAGATGCATGCAAAGCAGCAATGAATGGCTCCCACTGCAATTGGCACTGCAGCGGCTGGCACTGCCCCAGGCATTGCATGGCTGCCCTGAGAATGGAGCTGCTCAGTGACACCAGTACTGCTGCCTCCAAAACAGTATTGGACAGACAGAAAGATGGAGTCTGATGGTGAGTTCCCCAGAAAAAGCAAGCATCAGCATAGCTCATTTCTACTTTTATGCCAGAGAGAGGTGTCAAAGGTGAAGGCAGCCAACTCTAAATGGATTTTGTCTTGGTGTGTGGACAACTACCCCCACACAAATGGTCACTGGTGGGAGTGGAGAAAGGGGGCTGTTTAAAGCAACATAAAAGTGACTTTTTTAGCACCTGAGTTTCTTGGTTCTTAGAGTGGCATGAGGCTTTTGGGAAGGCTGAGGTCTCTTTGCATTACACACCTATTGTGGGTCCTCTTGCAGTGCTCACAGATGAGCAACTTCTGTCGGCTGCAGCTTTCTGGGAGCTGATGCTAGTGAGCGCCTTGCCCCAACAGGAGGCACTGACAGACAGGACACAGTCCTGACTTCACTGGCCGCTGAATTCTCTGTGGTGCAGTGGTTCTAATCTAGTGACACAGTAGCATTCCTCGCACTTGGCAAATGTTTGAGTTCAGATCATGGCCCTGCCATCTTGCCCATGCTCACCCCATGTGTACATGAGTGCATGCACACATACACATACACGTATGTGTGAAGCAGTAATTACTTCAGGTAAAATGAAGTGCCTCGTTGATTCTCACACCGTTCAGGAGACCATGGACACTTCTTTCCACCTTAGGGTTTGCATGGACGCTACTGTTTACATCTAGGGGACCTGGAAAACCTCAGGACACCTAGGTTCTCACCAGGTATACACAGAGAGGCTCAGGGGACAGGGCTCGGAGCTTTGGCAGGAGAAGCTGAACCGCAAGGGGCTCTGACATCAGGCAGTCGAGGAAGAGTGGAGAAGTCGGGCAAATAACAGCCTGTGGATGGCAGCGTGTGTCTACTTGGTGGGAGACGAGCAGTGTAGGGTCAGGGAAACGCTGCTGAGGCATGAAAGGGCTACAGACTAACTGGTGTCTGGGTTATGGGGCATGAGGTAGCGATGGAGCCAATGGCTGCTGCAGAAGAAGAAACAGGATGTAGCAATAGACCCTGCCTGAAGGGAAAAGGTGGGAGGATGACAGGAGTACCAGGCCTGTATGCCTACTCAGTGGGAGGGCTGGAGATGCTATTGGGACAGGCTACAGACTCCAGTCCTCATATGGGTCTTACGTGATGTTATTTCATGTGTAGGGTAGCTCAGGCCTTGTGCAGTGTGGGCAGTTTTGGGGCCACCCCCATGGGCTCTGCTACACAGCACCTGGCTAGTGCTGACAGCCTCCCCCACACTGCATAGCCAGGCAGCAGTGCAGGGACCCTAAGAGCAGCACTGCCAGGCACAGGCTGACCTGGGAAGCTTGTAGTACCCCTTCTGCTTATTCCAGCACACTGCAGCATAAAGAGGCATCAAAGGAGAGTGTGCAGAGCCAGAACAAGACTCCCAAGACTTTGTCCATGCTTTTCAAGCCAGCTTTCCTCTGCAAGCTCCATAGATGGGTATGAGCCCATGTGCTGCCACTGGGCACTCAATTGCATGCCTTCCATCTTAATCCAAAGCTAGAAAGAGCAGTTCTCTCAAGGTGGCTGGGGTCTCTCATAGGCCTGCCAGGTGCAGTCAGCCACATGGGCACCCCTATGCCCTCAGTACCTGCCTGCATCCATGTGGCAGTTTTTGATCTCCAGCTCCAGCTGCTTGATTTGGACATCCCTCTGACTCACCACCTCACGCAGCCTCCGGATTTCCTCCTGCTGTCGGTAAAACATCTGTAGCAGCTGGAAAAGAAGCAACACCTTGTTCCCCTTATGCCACAACCAATCTAGGCATAACACTGTCACAGGCCTGCTGGCACCAGCAGCATATCAGACAGGTATCCTCTGGCATGACTGCCATCATCAGAGTACCCATTTAGCCACCTGAATTCACCCCCCAACCTACCCCATGGCTCCTGAAAAGCCACATTCCCTCAGTATAAAGGAAAGGAAAGGAAAGACAGAAAAATAGTTTCTACCCCTCTCCCACATACTTCTGCCTTTATGACTCCATTCCACTGATGGGTGCAGGGGCTAAAATTCAGCACTCAGGAGATCTGGGTCCAGCTCCTGGCTCTGTGTCAAATTCCCTGTGTAACCTGGGTATGTCCCTCAGCTTCTCTCGGCCCTTGTTTCTGATCTCTTCAGGAGAGATAAAAAGCTTCCCTTTGTCTTCTTGGCTTACACTGAGCTATTTTGGGGGAAAAGACCATCCCTCTCACTAGATGCATATACAGCACCCAATGCTAAGAGGCCCCAGTCTCAACATCTGCGATTGGCCAGGAACAGGGCCCAAAAAAGGTTGCACGCTATGGCATGGGTGGGCAATTATTTGGGCCCGACCTGTGGCTCCTCCCCACCACTGCCAACAGCACCTAGCCCCAGCCCCAACCCTGGCCTGCCACCCACCCACGCTAAGCAGTGGCAGTGGCCAGGCAGAAGCTGCTGATCAGCATGGGTGAAAAGCAGCCCCTCCCACTCACTGTTGCTGGGCCCTTCTTGCTGTTGCTGCCTGGAGCCGGTGCCTGGACTGCCCTGCTGCTCCTCTCTGTCACAGTCACCATCGCCTCCAGGCTATCCAGCGGGGCAGATGTGGCAGTGCAGAGGAGCCACAAGGCAGCCCAGGCATGGGCCCTGACAGG